ATTTTGAATCATAGCTAGCGTCTTTCCCCTACCCTCACTGCACCGTATTCTCCGCGTCTTGGTATATCCAATGGGTTCTGATTAAACTTGGCCAAGCTTCGCGATGCTTCGTAGATAGGAATGGAATTGTTTAATATTTAATGGAACGAGTGTTTGATCGTGGTTTGAGTTCCCTATTAAGGGAATTATTGTATCTATTTTATTAATTAGCTTAGATTCGACTAGTTGTCAATATGTTTTATTGGAGGGAGAATTGAGATTTTTATAATCAGCAAACACACGTTTCATAATTCTGTTCATTATTCGATTTAACTGTGTCATTGTTTTGATTTTTAATATTTAGCCAAATAAAGCGAATAAAGTGAAAAAGCCGGTAGAAAGGGAATAAAAAGCACGATCATCCTCGTCTTTATTCAGTGATTGTCATCGCTGAACAATTACCAAGTGTAACTATGTAGAAACATAAATCCGTCTCAATCGAAGACAATTAAAATCAGATTTAATTGAAAAGACAGACTTTCGATCGTTAACAAAATTCGAAATTGTAAATACGCTTCTTCGGCAAGTCTTAATTTTCAGCAAACGGCGCGTGCATTGAACAACGCCTCTACCGACATGAAAAGCCAAAGTAATAATGAACGATTAATTGTTACGATTAACACTGTTCTACAAAAGACGAGATAAGACTGAAGTAGCAACAGAGTCAAATTAAACGTTGTCGGCTTTTATTAAAATTTCGAATACCTGTCGATCTCACAAAATGGCACGGCTACAAAATCATAATTACCCTAAGCTGTAAGGTTTGTAACTCCTATTTTCAATGTTTCTACTTATGTAGCACAGAAATTACAAACTACGAGACATTAAACATAGGCAGCACTAAATTTTGAAATTTATAACATATTGCGCGCATCTCAGTAGTGCGAATATTAAATATCCGAGACACGATTACCTGCACCATTTTGCTATATAACATTTATTCACAGGTACATGACGGAGTTATCCCTTCCTTGCCATCTTTTTAATCGACTTGTATCACAGCAATTGTTTTACGATGACTCTCTTTTTTTTAATACCATTGAAAAAGTTGTAAATCTCTATTATCCCTGTCCCCGGCGTGGAAGACAAATGTCGGCTGATGGCTTTTTCAAGATATCAACAAAATCTCGTTCACTGTCTACTGAATATAAACTGAATATTAAATGTAAGCATGGATTTTAATATCGATTATTAATAAAATATTAATTAATTGAACACACCAGTAGAATGATTTATTAATCAGATTAATAATTAATGATGATTTGTAATAATAAACACAACTACGAATGCGATAACTATATCGCACTTACAAAATTGAATGCCGAATGTCTTTCGTTAGAATAAATTTGGGATTGCCTTTGTAAATCGTGTCCTCGCAAAGACATAATATTTATACATATAGGCGGACTCAATGACACCCGATAACGCTACTCATTCCCTAATCATAATGAATTACGCTAGATGTGCGAAAGAAAAATTAATGGATCGGCGAGCCAAAAACAAAAGAAAGGAAATGTAAAATCGGGCGTCAGGAATGAAAATAAAATATTATTCGTGTTCAATAATACGACAAGGAAGCTCGAGGCTTAATTTCACGATTAATTGGCGACGAACCATTTTAAAATTTCAACTTTAAAAACGACTCGTAAGAATTATTTAGAAAGATAATTTTTGTTACGAAAATCGGTGAATATTCACCTAAGATTACATAATAGGATGTGAACAATTCCACGGAAGTGAATATTCTTTGTCATGTATCATTCAAGTAATTGACGTTTGGGAATTGATATATTTTCAAAAAAATTTTATTAAGGCATATAATTTTGTGAGTGTTGCATTTGTGCAATCGTCCTTCAGTGAACATTACTAAAAAAAATTTGTACGCATCGAGGAAGAAGATGTTATAGCTATTTTATTCTACAATGTATATCCTATGTTACTTCTTGCATTTCCTTAGTATTATCGAATTTTTATTAACACTGCAATAAGTTTTATTGTTATTTAATGACTGATGTTGGCTTGATCTCGACTCTCATTATTATGCCGAAAAAGGAATTTTACTTTCCAATAATTAACTTTATAGGTACATCATGAAAGCCACAATACAGAGGAATTTTTCCGAGTGCAATTATGTGAATCAATTTCTTTCCAAATACAAAGAGCGTTATGTTGAATATATTTCTAGTTTATAAATGTAGTCGAATTAAGATTCGTTAGAAAATTTTTACAATAGTATTAAATAAAGAAATCAAATTATAATTCAGCGTGGGAAATCATTAAAAATGTATATTATGGGTAAATAACAGATGCTCGTCAATTTACAATTAAATGTTAGACGAGAAAAAGGAAATGATATTTACAAATGTACGCATTTAATGAATGAATACTGTTTAGTTTTGATATATCAGACATTAGAATAAGGGAAATAATATTCAAACTACGAAAATATGTGTTTGAGAGCAGAAAAATTTATAATCACTTAAATAATTTAAATATTGTTCGCATGGAAAAGCGTCAGACCAATTTCTCGGTATTTACAATTGACAGCTTATAAAATACGTCGAAGTAATAAAAAATAATTTTCCTTTCATTTCTATAATAATACAAATTATTAAAAAAGTGTTTATCAAACCCGAGATACGAATGTCATTTAGAATTACAAAACACTGGAATTTTTTTTTCATGTAATCTTATCACAATATAAAACTTATTTCACAGTCGCTGCAAGCAAATGAATATGTACACTCGTACTTATAGACAAACTACGCCATGAGCAAAAGTGCCATTTTATTTTTTTAATTTTACTCCCTCTAGATTAGAGCTGAATCAGTGCACGGAAGGCGCTTTTAACAAATTATTGTCAAAGATTGAAGTTTATGTCGTCATCACTCCACGACATTTAAGAATTTTTGCTTTGGGAGATGCAATTTTCACGTATTTATTATTATTTCGTTTAAAAAATCATTTACCGAATTAAAATTATTATTATTAATTCCAAAGAGCACAGTCAAATACATATTTCGGTAATTGAAATAATATTTTGTTAATTGTTCCTTGGCCAAACATTCACAGGATATAATAAAATACTTTGTAACTACAAATTGCACTTCTTGGAATTAAAGTTATCGTACGTTTATTATTAAATCTAATAATATTGCGCTACAGTCTACTAATTGTCTAATGAATCCATAGTCTAACAAAGTCAATAGCTTTTTGAAATATTAGTATTTTTACGTGGGGAATTTATAAATAATTTATGAAACGTTTTGAAACACAACCATACCTCAGTTGTTACATTATATACGGTAATGCACATGACATATTATCACATTGAAGAACTATTGACATTTATATAAGTGAACTTTTATAGGACACATATTTTTTACCCTACGAAGGGCTAAAACGGGGAAAAATATAAATATCGACCTCCCTTCAATAACTGTTCCTTCCTTTTTGTATTTGTCCTCTATTATACTCCAGAACTTTCATTTTCAATGAATGCAAACGTAGGTGTAAAAAAATTGTTAAATACCAATTTAACATTTAAAATACGAATTCATCTGCTTCATTCAAAATCATGTCACGTCATTCTACATCGGATGTATTGTCGAAGATCGGCCTTTTGATGAGCGTTGCCCTGTGACGAAAATCGAACGTGAGTGTTGCAATTAATTTATTTGCCAATGTTTATTCGGCGGCAATTTTTTCTGCGTAGCCATTACAGCATTTTTTTCGGCGGCGTTGTTATTGGTATAAAAAGGAATTTTCACGGCGCAAGCAAAATCCACGTAAGTGCAGCATGTTTACTTCTTGATTCCTCTTCGCTTTCAAGTTGGACGATGACAAAGTGCATAATACTAGTCGCATATACGACATCGATAGACGCCCCCCTCCACCCGCCCATTCAACCGATATCCATACATCGATACAGGATCTACATACCCTTTGGGCAATGCAATCACTTAATCGATAATTTGTGTATCAAAAGTGCAGACATAATATTATAATAATTTTATATTAAATTAAAATATACGGTATTCTCTTCTAACTAATATTCTCCTTAACGGTAATATTTAAACCTTTATAAGAATTACGTTTAAATGCAATTACGTATTTCCAAGAGCGATTATGTCGAATAAGCGTTTTAAGAGAGCAAAACAACAATTTAATTAAAAAAAATCCACGTAGATGCCGATTATAAATGTGAATTAAAAAAACTCTATACAATTATTTTTATTTAAAAAAAATTTTTATTATTAATTCGATGTTTAGATTATGTGCTCTTATGCATTTCATTCTGTATGGCGAAAAAATGGGCATTAAATTTTATAATGTTACATTATTAAAATATGTATATTCAAGTTACTTCCTAAAAGCCATACCTCGAATAATTTATTGATAAGCTAAATTACATGTATAATAAAAAAGAGACGATTAAGAAAAGGCGCTATCGTGTTTGTGAAACAAAAATAAAATTAATATATCTTATTCACGTGATGTCCCTCTTTAACTATTATTAAATTAATTATACTGATCGATATTCCGCACTGGATTACGTCATGTTACAATTAGTACTTGTTTATCATATAGCGTATATAATTAGCGCGTAAATTTGAAATATTAAACGATGGATTCGCTCGGCTCCATGAGAGTAAAACCATCAATGGTAACGGTCAACGAGAACTTTATAACCTCACTTTTTCCGTGATCCATCAAGGTGATCGACTCCGTTAAAGCAACCGATCGCAGTAAAATTTTCGGCATTCTCAGTGCTCGATGCATTATCGATCAACTACTAATGAAGCATAGGTGAATTATGTTCCCGTGAAAGACGTGAAGAAAAGCTCGCAAACGCTTTAGTTTCATGACAAATCGCAAAGTCGATACTGATTAAGATCTTGTAACCTGCGACATTCCGGCTTGTCAAGCGCAATCTGAAAAAAAAATATGCTTCGACGTACCGACTCCCTTGGCGGCGTCGGCTTCAGGTATCCAGCAGGTGATGAGGAGGACGAGGAGGTGGAGAAGGCAGCAGCAGATGCCGAAGGCCCCGGCCGCGTTAATCTCCCGGCGACGATGTCGCGGTACGACCGCCATCGCGCCCCAACACCACCGTCCTTTCACGACGGACCCAGCGCCTCACCTGCCGCTCCTCGGGGCAGCGCAACTGGGCCCTTTAAAAATGGCGCGTTCTCCAGGACGCGAGGCTCTACTGCCGGCCCGGGCGCGGCCGATTGCTGGGGCGGCGGCGGCTCTTTTCGCTTCAGCACCCTTATTCTGCGCTCCTCTATCCACTCTGCCTCTCTCTTTCTCTCTCTCTCTCTCTCTCTCTCTCTCTCTCTCTCTTTCTTTCTTTCCTTCTCAGGGATGATTTTCCTCGTTGCAGCACAGCGAGCCTCAGTCCATGGCGTGTTCTGAAGTTCTTTTAGCGGTTGGCTTCCAAATTGGAATTGGCTACGATTCACAACGCGGGCACGCGCACACCGAGTCTCTTTCCTTCTCGTCCTCTCTTGTTCCCCGCCGTTCTCGCTCGCTCTCTTTCTCTCGTCTACCTCACAGTACACGCAAACCTTCTACACCCGGTCGCGGTCAACAGGCGACTGCCCGGGACCCGTGTGCCTCAACAACCGATGGCAAGTCTCTCCAGCCGCGGCTCTCCTTTCCTGGTCCCCGCCGCCAGGCCACCTCTATCACTCTCTCGCTCTCTCTCCCTCCCCCGCTCTATATCTCACTTACTCTCTCTAATTCCCTCTCAATATACACTGAGTATAACGCGACCAACATGGCGACTTGTGCCGGCGACAGGTACCTTGTCTCTCTCTCTCTTTTCTTGCTCAGTCTCACTCGAATTCTGCCTTTTTCTACCTCTCCCATGCTGCTCTAACCTTTTCGAACTACGCGTGCATGTATGCGTCGTCGTGCGCGATGCCTCCTCAGTTCTCGGTCGCCAGCAACTTGTTGCTACCGGCCGCAAGGAGGAATTAAATGCAAAATAAAACGAACTTGGTCGAAGAAACTAATATTACATATGCTACCTTATACACTTACAAATTATTTTTGTTACGTCTTTTTCTATTTTTTTATTTTATCTCCTAAAAATGTTTTATTAAAGACAACGCGATAGTCCTGTACGTCGATGACAAGTCTCGTTGGAGATGTAGTCAAAGCAGCAATGAGACTTAGATTGCAAGTATCCATGAAAATTCAAGTAATTCGCGTAATGTATATTTTGAAGAACTTATAATTTAATACTATGACTTCAATGAAAAAGTAATTTTGATAAGATTCTTTTACATTGCACTTCAAATGAATGTACGATGCCCAGTTTAATATGCTTTATACCAATAAAAATTATATTCTGTTTAGAATTGGGTGTTATTTTACTTATTACAGTATTTAGATAAGTAAAAATTTAATAAAAATTCCATCTAAATATTATTTAATTCGAATTAAGACAATATTACAGTTGCTGTATATATATATATATTTATATACAAAACTGTATACTGAATTACTAATATGTTCTTTTCAAAAAGGACTTGGAATTCAATCTGCAAACAATGTACAATATTTAAAAATGTAATTTGTTATTTTTGTTAGATATCATTTATTTCTGTATTTAAATTCTATTATAACATTTTTAATAATATAATAAATTTAATTTGAATATTATGGCTCCGGAAGTAATAAAAATCACTAAAACTATATATTCTACATATCATAATGTAACGTTCACTTTCCAAAGCTTCACATTAAAAATAAAATCTATTTCAAAGAAGCCATCGTGTTCTTTCACATAATTTTATTATTTATATGATCTCTATAATTGATATAAAAATAATCCAAGTTTCTTAACATTTTATTTTACCTAAAAATGAAAACCATTGAATAGTAGTTTCCAAAAATCTTATAACTCAAAAGTCCAAAAATCTTCAATAATGTATTATTGAATTCTATACAAGGTTTTGATATTCTAACTGCTATTTAAATAATATACAAATAAATATTAACCCCATATTTATGGAATGTGCAGATGTGGCTAATATTACTAAGTGACATAGATGTGCACGTGCAAATTACAGCACATATATAGTATAGAAGATTAAACTATGCCAGCATTCGCCATATGATCTACAATATCGACATTTTTTAAGTAACTTATTTCAATGTCACGCAATGAAACACTAAAATATTTGATAAAAGGCTAAACTATAATAATATTATATAATGTATGCACAGTGCATAAATTATAATTCTTTTTCACGTACGTAATTACAATCTACGTAATAGTAGATTGTACGATGGGCATTCTCGGACTATAAATATAATTTAAGCAAAATGAATCTGCAAATGTTCGTTTCTTCCTTTTCATTCTAACACCAAATATCGTACTTTTTCGTTCTATACTTTATTAATTGGAAACAATGTTTAGAAGTTAATTGGCATAAAATGATACTATCCATCTTAATTATCACTCAAATAAAAACATAAAAATTATGTATTCATTGAGTACATCTCTCGTTACCTACAAATTTTGTTCTGAAATAAAATTAAATAATTATCTACAATTTTTTTTCTTTATAAATAAAGTCTGTACTTACTTACTTAGCTATGTATTTTTAATATTCTAAATTTTTAAATTTCATATCTCACTGCCCATCAACAACTAAAATGATCTTTATCTCCGTCTATTTGATTTTTTTCATGCAATTAGTTACTTATTCCCATTTCAATTCCTAAATGTTACGATACAAAATTTTTCAAGAATTCTAGTTAGAAAACACTACACATTCTCTTAACTATACGCCACTCTATGAACTTATTCGTATAATTATTAAAATTCCTATAGTCAATTTTAGTCATTTGAACTAATAATTATATTTCCTTTAATAAATAAATGGCTCTGTACTATAATAAAAATTAATTGAGCTTAATGTAATATCACTTTCCTAAGTATGCAACGAAGATAACAATTTAGAATATATTAAAGTAGTAGTTGAAAAAAAGATTAATATCAATAAAGCATTCATCAATTTGGATAAATAATAAAATTATATAGATCTTATCAACTTGAATTTTATATAAATTTCAATAATTTTAATAATCAAACTACATTAACAATTTAGTTAGCTAAATATTTCTAAATTTTTTTTAACATTTTATAAGTGATATTGTAGATTTATACTTTTAAAATACCTTAAGTAAATCTACTTTAATCTGTTTTTTCCTTTTAAAATTATTGTACATTAATGCGATATTGAATTTTCTAAAATTATAAAAGCAATGTAATTTTTTAACTATACGTGATACATTGTAAAATATTCAACATAAATATTTTATTAACTGTAAATGATCGCTACAATAAAGCATTGAAAAACTTAATCGTTAGATAGGCCCAATCTCAAACTACTTTCCGCATTAAGCTTTAAAGTGATTGCATTCTTTTACGAAATTGTATTTTAATCCTTGGATAATCTTTTGAAAGATCGAATGATTGATTTTTCTTTTACTTCATCCATATTAAACGCCTTTAGATAAATATTTTGAAGTTAATAAATATATATGTATAATATTTTATGAGATCGATATTCGAGAGTATGAGCATACTTCGCGATATCGTGGTAAAAAGTTTCATGATTATACATTTAAATTTTACAGAAATTCTCTTCCAACAAATATTTATGTCGATCAATATCAATTAAGCAGACTCAAAAGACTGTCGAAAAAATTCATAGCGACGAAAATATTTTTGCAGTGTTAGACTTCCTACAAGACTTTTGTTCATCGTATGTAAACCAAAAGATATTTCGCAATTACATCCCAGATACATCTAATTGTTCAAGTGAAAATATATTTTTATGAAATTACTAAATAGAGTCTAGAAAATAACGGCCGAATGCCAAAATCTACTGAAATAACATTATATTTCCGGCAAAATTTCATGAGTTCCTTAATTATCTTCGCATGAGGCATTTGAATCTCCGTTTCTTCCACCGTTTCAAAATTCAAATAATAAAGCTATATATTTTTGTTAATATAACGAAGCTTTATAATACTACATTCAATGTAATATAGCTTTCTTGGTCATATTATTAAACGACTTGCACGAGGAATAAAAAACAATAGAATGAAAACGATGGCAGAGACGTTTTTGATTGCCGTCTCAAAGAGAATCCACGAGGTCTCATAACATCTCGACTTCGAAGGAGCACAAGTTGAGAAGTAAAAAAAAAATAGGTGGTGCCTGTGAGCTGTATCATTGGGTGGTGGTCACGTGTATACATAAAGTCAGGCACATTACGTAGGCGCGCCGTAAATACCGCCGTACGTACTTGTACGCGCCCGTACCAGCCGCACTCTCGTCTCTCTTATTCTCCTACTTCCTTCTCCTCTCGCGCTTTTCTCGCTCACTCGCTTAGCTCCTGCGTGCGAACCTATTTTTCCAGCCGAAGGTATAAACAAACCTCACTTCAAAGATTCATACGGAGCTCAACTCGATGCTAGACTTTACGAGCACATGAGCCTAATAAGGCTTTTCCTATGATTCCGGTCTTTTCATGACTCTTAACTGCCTTTAATTGGGGATTTAGCTGCGTACACACATTTGGATAGAAGGGTCTCGCTTCAAATCTAATGGATTTCGGCTTTCAAGGTTTCCCATTTGCATTGTTGGCTTGTTACTTTACAAATAATTGCGTCCCATGGGTAATGTACTGCGATCTACTTAATGACGAGGCAAAGTAATACAGATTATGTACATGACTGTAATTTGGAAAAATTGCTGAAATATTAATTTTATTAAATATTACTGGCTTATATTAATATTATATTAATATTTCGAATTTCAAAAATAAATTGTTGTATTCGCTGTTTAAAAATACTTCGTTAATAATACACTTTATTATATTCAAAGAATTCCAATTTTATACTGTAAGAAAATTTTATGTTCGAACATTAATGTTGAGTATTGAAGCAATTGCTCTTGTAAATTTTCCTTAATTTTTTTTAACTCCACTTAAATTATATTTTTTGATTAATATAAAAAGTAAAAATATAAAACAAAATTATCTTAAAAATCTTATAATAAAAAAAAAAATGTTGAAAACTATTATGGAATGAAAAGTGAAATAAATTAAATATGTAGAAAAATAAATATTTTTAAATTATAATTTGTTATGGTTTAAATATAATTAAACGAAAAATTCAATATCTTTACATCACTAAAACGGATATTTTCAAATTTAGAATTTATTTTATTCGTAATCGTCTATATTATTGATTCTTCTAAGGCAAATATAAGTAGATCTATGTGTATATATTTTTTTCTCTTGTACGCACAGATATATATATATAGTTCTACAAAAATTAAATAAATACCATCTACATAGATTTCATATTTTTATAGATAATTAAATGAAATATCTATAAAAATTTGCCTATAAAAACATAATTATTTAAATGTAATTGAGAAACTTCAACTTAATACAATTATTAAAAATTATACTTAATAAAATTTATAAAATACAATATTTAGGTACAACTCTTGTATAAATTTTTAGTATTTTACTGTTTCTTTTTGTTAATTTATTTTTATAATTTTTGTTTCACCACAATGTTTTTTGTTTATCACTTTATTTCATTCGATTATTTTAAACTCAT